GCACACATGTTGAAAAGGTATGGAGACAGGATGCATCCCTGGCGTACACCCTTCCCAATTTTGAACCATGCAGTGTTACCCTGCTCTGTTCTGACTAGGCCTCTAAATCTTTTTTTCACTTGCTGAAATGTACTAACAAGCCAACCCACAGATAATAACTTGGCTCCCACAGGATTGCTAATACCAGGAAAGGTGGTCCCTCCGTTGGATGAGGGATCATGCACTTAAAGGTTGGTATCTGGTTATATACTTCAGCCTTCTATGAGTCGGACTGCTGGGTGTCAGGCTTCCTCAGGGAGCTGAACTCCAGGACACTCTGCACGTCTGTGAACCAGTTCAGTTCTTCGGGAGCCAGTCGGATGCCTCTGGCACAAAGCAAGACCGTCTGACTCAGTCGTTTGAATCACAGGGTGCGAAGGATGTAATTATGTTGGCAATTCACAAGTGTCCTCCCTGACCCCATCGCCACTCCTGAGCCTGCTCTGTGACCCAACCCGTAGACTGGAAATTGCCCAGCATTTTCTGCTTCTGACTCAGAGAGACTCGGGTCCTCGTTACCGGGTCAGTGGGTCAGTGGAATTGGCGTGCTCTTCCTCAGATTGAAAACACAAGGCAAGGAAGGAATGTGTGGAGTACAGAGAGATCTCTCCTCATGCCCAGTGGAAAGCAAGTCTTTTGCTTTCCATTAGAGCTCCCTGCTCTTTATTTTATTTTATTAATTTTAATGAAAGTTTACAGAGACTTTGGGTTTTCAGTCATTCACTGTTGCACTTTCGTCCCTGCCCACCTCTGCCCCGAATTTGCTCTTCTTGAAAAGTAAAAGAAAAACTTTCATTGTTACGCAATCCCTTCCCCCAAGTCCACTCCACTATGCAGCCTTCACTCTGGACTTCTGTAATGACAAGAATACCCATTCATATATCCCTTTTAAACAGTTCTCTCCTTAATCTGTTTCAATATGATATACATCATTCCTCCCCTCCTTTTCTGTCTTACCTCAACCCTGATGCCAGTCCCGTTTTACAACAATGGCCTTATGCAATATTTTTTTTTTTTTGTGACTGAGCTATTTCACTCAACATAATTGTCCTCCAGAATCATCCACTTTGCATAATATTTCATGAGTTCCTTGTTTTTCAGTGCTGCATAGTATTCCGTTGTGTGAATATACCAGAGCTTCTCTATCCATTCGTTTGTTGATGGGCACTTGGGTTGTTTTCAGCTCTTTTCTATTGTGAACAAAGCAGCAAAAACATGGGCGTTCAAGAGCACCCTCCTCTTGACATCACTGTCAAGTGAAATTTAATCAACTCAGCCCCAAGATTTTCATCCATAAAATAGAGCTAGTAAGCCCACCTTCTTCCTGGAATTGCAAGGATTAAAGCAGGGAATAAATGCAAGAACCTAGTAAATAACAAACCTGAATAATGTTACTCCTTCCTCACTGTCATTGAGTAGATTCAGATTCAAAACAACACTCCATTGTATTTCTGCAATACCCATCTTAACAGGATGAGACTTCACCTCGTGAAGTCGGCTTCCTGAGGAGTCAACGGGCGGCTGGAAAATGGGCAGCTTTTTGGTCACCTAAACCACCATAACAGATTCTACCCCAAACAAAGACTCTCACCACTGGGCTAATCGGCAGCACCATGATAAATGGAGAAAAGATTGAGGTTGTTAACAGTTATAGCTTGCTCGACTTCACAATCAACACTCTTGGCATCAGCAGCACGAAATCAAAAGATGAATTGCAGTAGACAAATTCCAGAGTACTGAGAAGTGACGATGTCAATCTAGAGACTAAGGAACACCTGAATCAGGCCATGATCTTTGAAATTCCTTGCTATACATTAGAGAGCTGGACTATGACTAAGGATGA